ACTGGGATTTTCCCACGCAACCATCTCTGGAGTTTACAGAGAATGTTCCAAATAAGCGAAAATAGCGACAGTGAGCGGCACTTCTCTGGCAAAAACGTCTTGTTTATGCCAGAGGTCAGAGGAAAGAGGCCAGACTGTTTCAAGATGACAGGAAGGCAACAGTAGCTCAAATGAGCTTTAGTTACAACTAAGGTGTGCAGAAAAGCATTTCTGTAAGCACAACACATTGATTCTTGAAGCAGATGAGCTGCTGCAGCAGAAGACCACACCAGATGCCTCGCCTGTCATTTAATAACAGGAAGCTGAGGCTACAGTTCACGACGAAATTGTAGAAAATAAAATTTTAGTCTGTGTCTCTTATTGGGGCGGTGGGGTCAGAATTTGGTGTGAAGAACATGAAAGCGCGGATGAACTGTGCCTTGTGTAGTGTAATGGGGTGAGGGATATCTTCTTGGCCCTTTAGCACCAACTGAGCATACTTGAGTATTGTTGCGGACAGTTTCCATCCCTTCATGACCACAGTGTACCCATCTTCTTATGGTTGTTTCCAGTAGATCACATGTTTCAAAGCTCAATAATCTCACAAATCATTTCTTGAACATAACAATGAGTTCACTGTAGTCAAATGGCCTCCATAGTCACCAGATCTCCATCCAATAGCATGTTTGGAATGTGGTGGAATGAGAGATTCACATTGTGGATGTGCAGCCGACAAATCTGCAGCAACCTCTGTGTGATGCTATCATGCCAGTATGGACCAAAATTTCTCAGGAATGTATCCAACACTTGTTAAATCTGTCCTGTAGAATAGCAGATAGCTATTGCTATCTTCTATCTGGATAGCTTAAATCAGCGGTCTCGAACTCCAAACCTCAAGGGCCGGTGTCCTGCAGGTTTTAGATGTGTCCTTGATCCAACACAGCTGATTTAAATGGCTAAATTAGCTCCTCAACGTGTCTTGAAGTTTTCCAGAGGCCTGGTAACGAACTAATAATTTGATTCAGGTGTGTTGACCCAGGGTGAGATCTAAAATCTGCAGGACACTGGTCCTCGAGGCCTGGAGTTCTAGACCCCTTGCTTAAATGAAATTGACAAACAAATGTGCCTCTTTTGGACAGTATCACAGTAGGGAAGTTAGAGGAAATCTGGGAAACATTACATCCAAATAAAAGACAATGGGATAATAAACCTATTAATTATTAAATGCAATAAATGAAGTTTATTAAGTTAATTACTAATTAATATGCTATTAACTTAGGAACGTGAATATGAATACGTCAAAACAACTAATGCTATTCAGTCGTTTACAGTGTAGCATTTGATCGAAATTGCTTGCCCTGATGCTAAAAAGGAACACCATCCACAAGATGTAATAACATTGCTCTTTCAGGATCATCTTTTTCTATAGTTCTAGACTCTTTCCACACCACAGTCAAATTCCTACTCGGACCACTCATTCCACTTGTTCGGTGCACCCTCTTACATTTGCACATGCTCTCCTGTGCCTTTTTATCTGTGTCAAAACAGCTTGTCTTCAATTTGAGTCACGATTATATTGTTGTCTCCCAATTGATCACATTCCTGTCCTGATGCAACACTTGGTCATCACAAAATCTTGTTTTGAACTCTGCTGTTGGGTTTCTGGGTCAAACCTCAAGACCCAGATCTTTTACTAGTAGCGATTATTGCACATGCACAAAAACAAGTGGTAAAGATATGACTATCTGAGAGGAATCCAAAAAAATAAGCAGTAGTAGTAACTGAAATTAGGTAAGTTGTTTTCTTTTATAATAGGTAATTAGATAAGGGTTTTTTTTCTTATGAAGAATTTGCAAGTTTTAAATTCTGCTTAAAAGTAATAAAACTCCATCCTTAATATCTAACTTAAGTATTTGAGTGCTACTCTGTCACATATGGCATGGTTACTTATTTAAAAATATAGTTGCAAAACCTAATATTCACACTCACTGACATCAATATTATACTTTTTCAAATTAATCCTCAAGTTTATTGACTTTAATATCCTCCCAGCCTGATGTGCCTCTCATGCAGTGATTCCACAAAGAGAAAATATACAGTGGCAACAGTCTGTGTGTGTTTGTATGTTTGACCAGATGTGTGTTTGGAACATATAGTCACACAGATGAGGAGATGGAGGGATGGAAGGATGGGGGTAAGAGAGTTGGGAGAGAAGGGTTAGCTGTCACAGAGCATAGGCCCTGCCGCTGGGGACGTAATGGAAAAATCACTCAAGATTACCATGAAACACAGGAAATGCTCTCAATTGGGCCTGATTGCCTTGTGTGTGTGTGTGTGTGTGTGTGTGTGTGTGTGTGTGTGTGTGTGTGTGTGTGTGTGTGTGTGTGTGTGTGAACTCCAAATAGAGCCCCTGACAGTGTGAGCAGAGCAGCTCCTGTTTATTGGCACAACTTTTTGAGCATTATTGCAGCTCCTCTAAAAGAAACTACAGCTGTGAATTCCCTGCAGAAAGAAAATGACTTGATACTGATTTGGATACAATAAGATACAATCTTCTACAAAATTCCATCCCAGGAGATTCTATAAAGTAAAATTTCAGTTTTTCGTAATGCTTTATTCTGTTAGTGCCAGCACGAAATGAATAAATAAATAAATATAATAAATAATAGTTTGTATTTGAACATTTGAGTAAAAGCTCACCTGCTGCCTAAAGTAAGAATTTTGTTTATTGACCTCAGAGTTTGCAAAGGGATAATATCATAGATGTTGATTTTTGGATCCAGTGCACTGAATGCATATTATCAAACAGACGGAGGTACCTGAATACAAAAACGTTAATATTGAACCTTCATGTAGGTCCCTTTTTATCTTCCCTTTTTATTGAATCATCATTGGCGGCTTACATGTTGGTCCTGCTTTGTATTTCTGTCATTGGGCAGTGTGATATGGAGCAACCTTATTTCTAAAGATGTATAACTTTAAGTCGCAATGCAACTTAAATGTCTGCAAACA